GAATTGTATTTAGATTGGTCGGTTATAGATTTTTGATAATAGGTTTAAACAATTTTGATTAGTCAATAGTTTGTCATGTGACTTTATTAGGCATGCCCTAAGGGCATGCCTCAAGCCAAGGCATGCCCATTGAGGCATGCCGATTTTTTTACCCGTGCCCCCAACCCTATTTACTATGATATATTTTGTAACTTACATAGGGTCATGTTTACTTACAATGTAAGTTCCATTGTCTGGGTCGAATTATGTTGATCATGGGCCAAGACAATTTTAATGCCGGCTGAATTAAATGAATATGGTTAGACGATTAAACGGAATTTTAGGCGCTTCCGATATCCCCAAGTTAATAATTGGCAACACGGTGAAGAAAATGGGTTGGACGGTTATTGATGTATGCCAAAAAAATTTAGTATTGATTATCAATGTCGAATAATTTAATGTTATAAGAAGACCGTTTAAATTTTATAAGTATAAAAGACCAGTCTCTAGTCAATAATATATGTTCTAGTGGGAAAATTCTTCCAGTGATAATCTGAAGAATTCGATCCCGTGATAATGACATGTGATTGAGATGCCTTAAAAATAGATCTAAAATTTCGTGCTGCGGTAGCATTTTTACTTTCGTCCACAAAACAACTGTAGAAGCTTATTACAATGGCAGGCAGAGGTATTCCAATGTTGGTATGCATTTTTTTCTTTATTTTAAGAAAGGCGTGACACACATAGCATAAATTCATGCCTTGTTAGCAAGCTACGGTTTTTCAATCAGCAACCTTTAGAATATCCTATATAAATTATACATTATTATAAATTATCTTTTATTTCTTATTAGCAACCACAAATTATTTTGCTGAAAGAAGGTACTGATGCGTCCCAAGGTCGCGGTCAACTTTTATCTAATATAAATGCTTGCCTTGCTGTGGTTGATACTGTGAGGACGACCTTAGGACCAAGAGGCATGGATAAATTGATAGTTGATGAAAAGGGTAAAATTTAAATAAAGTAACGTTGTTATTCAACCATGGTGATCGGAATTCCATAGTAAACTTGGGAGTTCACAATATTTTTTGGCAGGTGAAATTACAATCTCAAATGATGGTGCCACAATCATGAAACTCCTTGATATTGTGCATCCCGCTGCTAAAACTCTCGTTGATATCGCAAGATCTCAGGATGCTGAAGTATATATACATTTTTTTATAAACATATTAAATAGCAAAAAAAGCATAACTTATCAAGATAGAGAGATAACTTAAGTTATATATAGGTCGGTGATGGAACAACAAGTGTAGTTTTACTCGCTGGTGAATTATTAAAGGAGGTCAAAGGCTATGTCGAAGAAGGTGTCAGTCCTTATGTGATAATCAAAGGCTACAGAAAAGCTGCTCAGCTGGTAAAAATCTAGTTTTTTTAGACCTATTTATAACCCTTAAGAAATTAAAATACTGAAAATTCTTTTATTTTATAGGCAATTAACAAAGTTAAAGAAATTGCATTTAAGGTTGAACGAGATAATGTGACGTGAGTTTAATTAAACAATTCTAAAATAATTGGACTCGTATGAAATAAATTAATTAATCTTTGTTTCAAGTGAATTCCGTGATTTGCTTCTAAAATGTTCCAAAACAGCAATGTCTTCCAAGCTGATTCATTCGCATCAAGACTTCTTCGCAGAAATGGTTGTTAATACTGTGTTGACGTTAGATCAAGAAGAATTAAATGAAAAACTGATTGGCATTAAAAGAATTCCTGGTGGTGCTATGCAAGTATGTTGTTGTGTTGTCTTCTAATTCGCTTAATAATCAAATACTGTTGCTAATTTTCGAATTTAATCCATTTGTATCGTGTTTAATTACATATTACGGACAAATTCACAAGGACTCACTACTTATTAATGGTGTTGCTTTCAAAAAAACCTTTTCTTATGCTGGGTTTGAACAGCAACCTAAATACTTTAAGAACCCCAAAATTTTATCATTGAATGTTGAATTGGAATTGAAAGCTGAGAAGGATAATGCAGAAGTTCGCATAGAAGACGTTAATGTATGTGCATATGTCAATATAGCTTTTTTTCTTTTGATTATTACTAGAACATTTTATTCCGGATAAATATAGGAATATCAAGCAATTGTTGATGCCGAATGGTCTATTATATATTCAAAGCTCGAAGCCATCGTTAAAACTGGTGCTAAAGTAGTATTATCCAAATTACCTATAGGCGATTTGGCTACACAATATTTCGCTGACAGAGATATATTTTGTGCTGGCCGTGTGCCTGCTGAAGATCTTAATCGTGTAGTAAACGCTGTTGGTGGATCTATACAGTCAACTTGCTCGGATATCGAGGAAAAACATTTGGGCTCATGTGAATCTTTTGAAGAAAAACAAATTGGCGGTGAAAGATTTAATCTGTTTAATGGTTGTCCAGCAGCAAAAACTTGCACTTTAATTTTGAGGGGAGGTGCTGAACAATTTATTGCTGAAGTTGAACGAAGTTTACATGATGCAATTATGATAGTCAAGAGAACTATTAAAAATAACTTGATAGTTGCTGGTGGTGGTGCTACAGAGGTTAGTTTTTTTTGTTTTTTTTTTGAGACAAAAAGATGAATCGTTAACTAATGAACTACTTGCTATTCTTAAACGATTTTGCTATTGTAGATGGAATTGTCTAAATATCTTCGCGAGCATTCTCGGACAATCGAGGGAAAACAACAATTGATTATTAGCGCATTTGCTCGCGCACTAGAGATAATTCCTCGCCAATTATGTGATAATGCAGGTTTTGACGCGACAGATATTTTGAATAATTTACGGATGAAACATGCTAATGGTAAATAATCTTATTGAATTTATATTTATTATTATGTTATTGACACGTCTAAACGATATTTCTAGGCGCCATTTGGTATGGTGTAGATATTAATTCGGAATCAGTAGCTGACAATTTTGAGGCATTTGTTTGGGAACCTTCACTTGTGAAGACAAATTCTATTTTGGCTGCAACTGAAGCAGCATGTTTAATATTAAGTGTTGATGAAACTGTCAAAAATCCAGCTTCTGAAAAACCGCAAGCAGGACCACCAATGCCGAGAGGTGGTATGCAAAGGGCGTTACGAGGTGGACGTGGTCGAGGAATTCCTCGACGATAGTGTTTGGATTCTGGTATTTAGTCGGATAGGCACCCTATTTTATATTTCTTTATTCAGATTTATAAATAGATGTTTAATACATTTTGTTTTGTGAAATTTGATTTAATAAACATAATTGAATACTAATAATACAAAAGCTACTACTATTCTAGTGCTATTCGTTATATATATATACAGTATATATTAATATATTTATTATCAACGATAATTGAGTTGGGTGATCTGTATGATCTACCTAATCTGATCTACCAAATCTGATCTACCAGTTCTACCAGTACACTTTTTTTTTTTCCGATTTGACGCTGCTTTATATATAAAGATTTAATAATATTTAATGAACCAAATGTAAACTCATCAAATGGCGACTAATGGCCCGCCAAAATTAAAGCCAAAATCTTCAAATCAAGATCAAATAGAAGAAAATTTAGGGACGGTTATCGCTCAATTAACGTCGCTCGATGGGGAAACTACTGGTCCACCGTTAAGCTTGCCAGCTGGTGTCACTCCTGAGCAATTGCAACTATTGATTAATCAATTGTTAAATAACGTTCGGCTTCAATTATATATATTTAATTAAATCTATGTAAAGAGTAAAAAAGAATTTAATTGTATTGTATATTCAACTACAGGATGAACCCCTTCCTTACGCTTTTTCAGTTGATGGTAGAGAAATTTCAACGTCACTTTATAAAGATATCATTCAAGGACTTCAAAGATCAACGGAAGATGTGCTAAAGATCGTATACCAGCCACAAGCAATCTTTAAAGTTAGAGCGGTGACTAGATGCAGCTCTACCTTAAATGGTAAATGAATTATGTTACTTAGAAATATCATAGGATAATATTATTGACGACTTCCTTTTTCTTATTTAAGGACATAAAGACGCGATCTTGTCCGTTAGTTTTAGTCCCGATGGTGCACAGCTCGCGACGGGGTCAGGTATATTATTGAATTAATCATATTTTTTTTTGTATAGGCAATGATCAGTCGACACAATATGTAAAATCCCTTTTATTAACTATTTAAATAGGTGATACTACTATCAGAATATGGGATCTAAACACGGAAACACCTCATTACACCTGTTCAGGTTTGTCCAATCATGTATTTATAAATTTTGTAAAAACTTATTTTGAATAAAAGTACTATATCAAAAATCTAGGTCACACGGGTTGGGTGTTATATATCGCTTGGTCACCAGATGCAAAAATATTAGCCTCCGGAAGCATGGACAAAACGGTTTGGTATTATAATGATTTATGTTTGCTAAAATCTTAACTCTAATCAATTCACACATTATTTATCTTAGGTGCGATTATGGGACCCTATAACGGGAAAACCCATAGGTGATCCGTTGAAAGGACACACACAGTGGATTACTTGTCTAGCTTGGGAACCACTTCATCTGTATGCGATATATATCATTTAATTAGACGTAAAAGTAAAAAAAAATAAAATAAATAGAATTTAAACAATATATAAAATGCTATCATTTAGAAATTCAAAGTGCAACCGATTGGCTTCTTCTTCCAAAGATGGTACGATCCGTATTTGGGATACTACTTTGCGTCGCGTTGTTGCTACTATGTCGCAACATACTGCCGCTGTAACATGTATAAAATGGGGAGGAAATGGATTGCTTTATTCTTCCAGCCGAGATAAAACAATTAAAGTTTGGGACGCGTCGCAGGTATGAGAAAAACTACAATTCCTTCTTCTGGGTTATGGATTATATATTCTATTTTTAAATTATGAAGGGCAAGTTAGTCAGAACATTGGAAGGCCATGGCCATTGGGTCAATACTCTTGCTTTGAGCACAGATTTTGTTTTGAGGACTGGTGCCTTCGATCATACCGGCAAAAAACCAAAAGACGAAAATGAAGGTATAACAGAAAGCAATAGCCGGTATACAAAGTAATGAATATCCATTTCTCGATAGCCATGCCACAGCTTATTAAATAAATTCTACAATTCGACCATAGCACGTGAGCGAGCTCTGGAAAGGTATAAAGCAGCTACTGGAAATAAGTCTGAACGACTTGTTTCTGGATCTGATGATTTCACTATGTTTCTCTGGGTACCATCAGAAAGCAAGAAGGCGATAGCAAGGCTTACTGGACACCAAAAGCTTGTCAACTATACGAGTTTTTCACCTGATGGACGTTTGTTCGCTAGTGCTAGCTTTGATAATTCAGTAAAGCTTTGGGATGGATTTACAGGAAGGTCAACCAACTTTCAATTTTGTTTAATCCATTATCGTCTAAATAATTTGATCCGAATTTAATACTTTTTGAATTCAAAGATTTATTGCATCTTTGCGAGGCCATGTTGGTCCAGTTTATCAAGTCTGCTGGTCCTCTGATAGTCGTTTGCTGATTAGCTCAAGTAAAGATAGTACTTTAAAAATTTGGAACTTAAAAACCAAAAAGATTAAATTGGATCTACCAGGTCATTTGGATGAGGTTCGTGTAATAACGACCAATAATTATGTTAGGTACATGTATCTTAATATTATTTGTGCACATGTAATTATGCATTAAAGGTATTTAGCGTTGATTGGAGTCCCGGAGGCGACAAAGTTGCCAGCGGTGGCAAAGACTGTCAACTCAAAATGTAAGTGATACAGAAGTTGTTAACGTTTCTTCAAACATTACGAATAGACTTTTGAAATCTTTAAGTCTACTAGAGTTCTAAGCTATTTATCCCCATGATCGCTGACAGTTAGTATGTTAATTCTGATATTTTTATAAGTCTTATAAGTCTAGTGATATTGTTTGCAGTCACGTTAACACTCCTAAATTGGTGTATCTAATGTTGCCCTTTGTAAATTTTTAAATTTATGCTGACAATAATTATTTTAAACAATGTTAGATGGCGAAACTGAATTTTTTTGACTTGTCATTCATTAATTTATCAAATAAGTTTAGTAAAAGTTGTGTGCTCAAACTTTAAATGTGAACTAACAAATTCTGATCAAAAACTATTCGAACTGTAACAGATATTGATGAGATATTGAATATTTGATATTATATTTGATATTTTTTACATTGTACATTGTGAACATTTGATAGATTTTTTTCTTTTAATAAGAGGAAGATTACTTTTTTTGATCTTTTTTTATGTTAGCCATTTGGTAATAATGTAACAAAGAGCAATATTAATTTTTGTATACGTCACTGGTTGTATCAACAGCACATCTAGAATGTGTGACAGGTTGATCGGCAAAATCAAGAAAAAAATTTTTTTATTCCAAAATTTTGCCTATGAAACCGCTCTTGGTGCTCTAAGAAAAAAGATTCTACTCATAATTTTGGTATAGATTTACCTAACTCTTCTTTCTAACGCTCTTTCAATCTAACCATAACATTTAAAAACTGGTTAATATAGGCCGATATTGATCAATTAGCGTAACCTGTCACACATTTAAGTTCTGCGTATCAACACTCCAAAAATAAAGAGATTGTCGACCGGTTTAAGTACTGTACTGTAAGTTCAAAATTTTAAAAAATGTTATATCCAGAAGTCATTATAACCAGAGTAACGTGTAGTGTATAAATCGCAAAGTAGAGATGAATAATAATTTGAGAAAATAATTAATATCAAAATTTTATTAAGAAAACCAATATAATAAATGCTCTTAAGTAAAAGTGTTTACGTAGAATCTAATTTTACATATAAATACATCCTTAATTAACCCTAACCTTAATAACTATATAGGGCTACGTTTTTTCTTACGTATATATTATCGTTTATAAAATTTATAAAAAGTCCTAAACTTAACTGTCAATAACCCGTCTATTATTATTATTATTATTATTATTTTAATACGTATACGTACGTACGTAGCGGGAGGAATAAATACTATCTATGGAATAACATATACCTGATACACCTTTAGTGAGTCGGTCACGTGGCACTGTTTTTAAATTACAATCGAACACCATTATTATATAGGGGCGTGCCCAAGGCACAATAAGAAAGGGATGCCTTGGGCCAAAGCATGCCCAAAAAAAATTTCCGTGCCATTTGCCTCTTTACGAAACGCCTTCGACCATAAAAAAAGATTTATTATAGTATAGCCAATCAAAGTCATGGATCTAAAAATCATCGTCCCTGATTTTGAGCATACCCCGAAATTTTCCAGTTCTCCAACCCTCGATATTGATATATAAAAAAATTTCATTGACATCTTATAATCCTTCTCTTTCGGAAATATCATGGTAATGTCATCCATCTACATAGAAATAGCTTAGTTATCATATTTAAAAAAAAGAGGACCCGATTGTTTCGTTAATGGAAACTTGAAGAATTTATTTGTGAATAAAGAAAAAAAAAAAATTAGTACTATTCAACTTTTAACTTTTTTTCTAATTATTAATAGGCTCCCGTTAAGACTTTCGAGCTTCGCGCAAAGAAAAAAGAAGAACTATTAAAACAACTTGATGAACTTAAACAAGAGTTGGCTTCATTGAAAGTTCAAAAAATTGCTGGTGGTACTGCTGCAAAGTTAACAAAATTGTAAATGTGAATCTTATAATAGATTTTTCGGAAATTTTTTTTTATTGATCGCTTAGTAGATTCAATTAACATTTCTCTCTTTTAATATGTATAGACGTGAGGTCCGGAAGTCAATTGCCAGAGTCAATACTGTTATTTCACATAACCTGCGAAATAATACACGAAATTACTATAAAGGTAAAAAATACATACCACTCGATCTTCGACCAAAAAAAACTCGCGCTATTCGACGTAAATTGACAAAGGTATAGGTTTCAATTTTTCAATTCAGGATTTATATAATTATTATTCAAACTTTGAAATTAATTTATAGCATGAAGCATCGCGAAAGACCAAGCGGTAAGATTGGATTGAATTGAATTCTGGTTTTGTTTTCTTTATATATATATATATAGTCAAGCTGATTTCATTCATATACGTGAATATTTTTTCAGTGCTCATATCCGATCAATTCATTTTCCTCAACGTAAATATGCCATCAAGGCATAGTGATCCTGGCCAATAATAAAAAAATCGGCCAAATTAATTTTCAGCTTAGCCGGTCGATATTTCAAAATCAGTTGTTCGATTCCTTATAATAATTTACGTTGATAATTACAAAAAGTTGGTTTTTTTTTTGTATATTTATTGCGAATAGCAAGTAATAAATTGTTATAATAAACGGTCGATGAAAATTTAACAAAAATTGTCCCTTGAGGTTACTTCTGGCACGTTTAATCAGATATATATAATCATATTCATTAGTGGGTTGTTTCATATGGATGTTAGCCAATAAAATGTCGACGATCGATAATCGTTCAGATGAATATTATAAATGTCTCTATATCCATATAAGCTAATCGAAAATGCTGAATGGCCAGGATCACTATCAATCAAAGAGAATATATTTCTAAAAAAGTTGTAGCAGATAATAATTTCTGATACTCATGCGAATAAATTCGGTACATTATAATGGCGACATGAATATTTATTTTGAATTTTAAAATAGATTTAAGTTGTAAAATCTTCATCCTCTTGCAATTTTCGCATATGTTTATTTACAATCGTTAAAACGCTTTTAAAACGTTTAATTGAATTACTTTAAAAAATCACGTACTATTTATTATAAATTAGTATCAATTAATAAGATCTTACTTACTGTTCAATTGTTTTATCGCCCGCTCGAATGTGAACTTTTTTTCCGTCGCCTAAAAATAAGTATACATTATTATATTCTAAAAGATGTAAAAAATTAATATTGAAACACTTACTATAAGTGATATTAATTTTTGGTTCTTTTTCTAAATCCGATAAAATTACTGTCTTGATAATGGCATTCGGGTTAGCAAGACGAGCTTTATCGGTCATTATTCGATTAAGAAATAGTCTGTGATTTATTGGATCAAAATCAAATTATCATAATAAATTAAATTGGAAAGTTAGTACATTATTTTATACCTAGACGATTTAGAAGCCTTTGAAAAAGGTGCGAATTTTATTTCTACGTGATTCATATACTTTAACATTTTTTTTTGTTTTTTGGATAAACTGAATTATTAACTTATGATCATCCTGTATTATATAACATAAAAAGGCCGAATTAAACTCAATTAGCCAATGGTGATTCATTAAATATTTATGTGTACCAGACTAGTGGCGGATTAAAGTTTTGATTCATGTAGATCATTGTGGCTGATTACTATGGTATATGCAGCCGTCTATGGAAAATCTATCATATAGATTTTCCATAGACGGCTAATTGTACACAAAATACGTACGTATACCGATACGGGGCATTTTTAGAAAATTTCTAATTATGTATATTATACTAGAAATTGTTTTACGTGTAATTATCATAGCGATAGTACGTACATAATAATTATCGATAAAATTAGGTGAATACGTATAAACGCATTCTCTTGATAAATGTAGTTTTCATACCCTGATTTTCGGACAATTTGTAAGGTCCTTTAAATTATATAAGCTTGCGAAAATTTAATATTATTGAAATTGGCTGGCTTCTATAGGCCCAGCACATTCCTCAACCGGAAACTGAAAACTAAAGTAATTAACAATATAAATTTTATTTTGCTTACAGCTGTTCTCATAAATTCTGAGTTCGGCTGAAACCAGTTTCCGACTCGGTAACTTGGTCATCGGAATTTTTCAGTTGTCCCAGAATTTATGGGAACTAAAATATATTGCAATAATTGACCGAGATTCTTTTTTTCGGTTTGATGGCAGGCAGGAACATATACTAAATATAATTAAATTGAGGAGGTATAAAGCACTGCTCTATCATAATAATTGATCGTGCGAGTAAAATTACAACCGATGTTTTTTTTTTTCAAGTGATTTGGTTACTGTACTATTTTCCGAAAGCCATTTTCCCGAAAGAACATAATACCTGCTAAATCGGCCAATATTATAGCTAATGCCAGTTAACTTTGTCGGTATTATGTCCTTTCAGGAAATCGGCTTTCGGGAACCTTACATTGGTGATGATTTTCAGGCAATTTGCAATCATCACGAAAGAAACACCCTTTTGGGACTATTGACTAGGGAAGAACCATTGCCCGGGATGGAGCTATTACCCGTTTTATTCTCCGTATTTATACTGTCTTGAAGTTATCTGGTTCTGAATTACTATTACATTCGAAAGTTGCGGTTAATAATCCATAATGATAATCAGTAACGCAAAAAGCCTTCGCCCCTATTGAAATTATGATATATATTTTGTAATAAATGTTACATTTAGAATAATATATAACAATATATGAAGCAACATTTTTGGCAAAAACCAGGCAGCTGCACGAGTAATAAACAAATGCAAAGGAAAATAAATAATCAGCCATATTAATGGCATACTTTGCCGCATAATCATGAACGTTTGAATTTCAAATTTTCAAGATTTAATGTTACGTTCTATATTATCGTTATCGACCAATGAACCGGGTTCAAAATAGCGTAGGCCAGATTGGTCATTTGATCAGCTACACCAATTACCTATTATGTACTCTATGGTCACGCTTTCCAACGGACACTTTATAGTCTAAAATTTTTTTATTTGCATGAGAATGCAAAAGAAATACCTTCCAACAAAAGAGACAGTGCCTTTGACAGTGCCTTTGAGTCGTAGGGTGCAATCTTTAAAAAATTTCAGAAGGGGCTCATCAACATATAACAGAATAAATAAAAATAGTGGTCACTTTAGGATGGACTCCCAAATCAAACAAACAGTTAGCGTGGATCACATTCTGCAGAACGAGAATGAAGAGGAAACATTTAATGAACAGTACGAATTACTTAATAGTGAAGACTTTAATGCACATTATAATGAAAGTAATGTTGAGATCGTTGACAGTCATGATAACAGCGTTCGTCCAACCACCCCCAAAGAAATTTCACCAGTGAAATTGAACCGTAATAATTATAAAAATGGCTTGTATGGTGTACCAGCAGGTGAAAATACCCCTCCGCAACAATCTTCTCATCCACAAATCAGTGACATTAGGGGCACTACACCGGTAGACACTCCTCCACAAGTCATGTTGGATACAACTAATTCTAACGAATCAGGGAATAGGCCTGGGGTAACTATCAGCGGAACGAGAGTTTTTGTTGGCGATCTCTCCTGGAAACTTTCAGATAAAGAGCTTAGAGCAGAATTTAAACATTTTGGAACTGTAAACGAAGCACTTGTCATTAGAGATAAAAATACTGGTAAGCATATATTAATAATAACTTAAGGATAGTTGATTGATTCTATCTTTAATTGTAAATTATATAAGGTCGAAGTAAAGGTTATGGATTCGTTTCTTTCGAAGAGCCGCATGCCGCATTAGATGCAATTAAATCAATGAATGGTCGTCACATTGATGGTCGTCCTATACGTGTTGAGGCTGCTGAAGAACGACCTCTCGACGATCGTTATGAAGGAAAAAAAGATCATATACAAGATTATAGGCGGCTAAGTGACTATCGCAGAGATATGGACCACGGACGAAAAAATTATTATGAATTACGTAACAGAAAAGAAAGAGATATCGACTATAGAAGTGATCCTCATTATTATAGGCGAGATATTAATCGTCGGTTCGAAAAAAGAGATATTGATGATCGAAGAGATAACGAAAATCGCCGCGAATTTGAATACCGTAGAGACATAATTCGCAGAAGAGATAATGAATTTGAAAAACGTGATAGGGATATTGAACGTCGAAGAGAAGAATTTGATAATAAAAGAGATAGAGGAAACCCTTTAATAGAACCGCATGAATCGTATCATTCATCAAAGATACAACCAGGTAAAAATCTGTCTCGTACCGATAAAGATCATGAATATGAGCGCGCTCGAACAGATGAACATGTTAATGAAGAAAAAGATGATGATATTGGCGATCAAAAAAATCGCAAACATGAGCATGTTCATTTGCATGATTCGAAATTATCTGGGAGGAGTGATAATACACTTTATGATAGAGATGTATATTCAGAAAAGGAAAAGGATAGATCTAAAAATAGTCGCAAACGAGCACGTTCCAACAGCATACAACAAAGTGACTCGTATTATTCTCAATCTGAAGCTTTGCACACTGATACATCCCCTCACCCTTCTTTACCTCCAGTAATGACATCACCAAATCGTTCAGCACTCTCTGAACATATACCATCAACACGTCACGAACCTCGATCACCTCTTTTTTATTCTGATATTCCGCAATCAACGTCAAGAATGACTCGAAAAAACTATTATAATGATGGTCATTCCCCGGAATTTGCGAAGAAATGGGATCAAGCGCGTGATAGAGACCGAGATAGAGGAATTGACAGAGAAAGAGATAAAGAACGTATGATGGAAAGAGACCGGGAACGAGAAAGACAGCAAAATTTGGAAAGAGCAAGGGAAATTGAAAGAGAACGAAGAGAAAGAGAAATAAGATTTATTGATAGAGAAAGAGAGTTTGCACGAGTGCGCGATCAACCACGTTATTTCGAAATGGACAGAGAATTGCATCGTACTCGAACATCAAGTTATGATTACGGTAGAGAAATAGATCGTGCTAGACCTCCGTTTTACAATAGAGAACAAGATCGTGATTTTGCTCGATATCGAGAGGCCGATTTGGACCCATATATTAACCGTCACTCACCGCCTGGTCATTCAACATACAAGGATAACTATAAACGTTTCAATGATTATTATTACCAAAATCCTCAAACATATTCGTCTACCCGTCGATCATTATCTCCACGGCCACGCTATTCGGCACGACGTTCGCTTTCTCCCGGCGTTAGACAACCGATTACAACTTATGAACGTCGGTATGAAAGAGATCGACCTCCTCGTTTTGATGCTGTCCGCGGCCATGAGCTTGATTCTAGACGTGATGTCGATTATCGCTATAATGAAGTGCATAATCCTGGTTATAATCATTCTCCAATGATACATAATAATCAGGCTCACGTGAGACCATATGATGAAAATGTTGTTGGGACTAGTACAAATGCTTTAACTAATGAAACTTTCCAGCGAGATCGTCCAAAGTCAAGACATTGGGGAATCAACAATGAGAAAGAAAGAGATACAAAAAGGATTCATAGCAACTCAAATGATATGTATTCTGATAACTATGATCGTTATAGACGTGAGAGACGTAAACCATGGGATGCTGCTGATAAAAGTAGAGAAAATCAAGAAGAGCAAAATGAGCCTAGCGTTACTACTGCTGCTGCTACTAATGTTCAGGAGAGAGCTCGAGACCGAGAACGAGATGAAAAGAGAAACTGGGATAGCCGAGATAACTGGGATAATTGGGATAACCAAGATAATTGGGATAACCAAGATAACTGGGAAACCCGGGAAAACCGGGATAACTGGGATAACTGGGATAACCGGGATAACCCGGATAACCCGGATAATTGGGATAATTGGGACAACTGGGATTCGAAAGAGGAAAAAACTAGAGATGTTAAGTCAGAGCGCAATAATGGGGGCACTGTTACAAAAGATGCTCATGAGCGTCCAATTCCACGTGAAAGATCCACTAAATATTGGGACATGAATGAGGACAAAAGTAGAGAGCTCGAGCGCAGTTCCAATAAGAGCCGTGATCGTGATAATAGAGGCAACCAAGAACGAGGTGAATTTGAGCAGGCATTTCCTTCATTAAATGATGATCATCCTTCTACCCCTGCACTTGATTTCTTTCCTCCTATTACTATGCCAACGGATTCCTTCGCTCTTCAATCATCTCCATCAATTGGTAACAACGGTCATGCAAAAAATACACACTTCTAGTTTAGCCAATTTGTCTATCGTTTTATTGCGTTATCGATGGTCACGCTTTTTTTTTTTCTTTTTATGTGTTGATTCTTTTACGTTTCTGTGCGAAATAAATAAAAATAAAAAAATACTTTATTGAATTCTTTTTTTTTTTCCGTTCCTGATAGGAGCGATATGATCTTTTTCCACTCTCTTCAATATGACAACAAACAATATTGCATCCTCGCTGACAAAAAGGGATTTGAATTGATGTTTCTGGGAATCGTTGATTCTCTTAGGATGGAAATCTAATTAATGCAAATAGTTGATGCAAAAGAAATCACATTTACTGTAATTTTGGTTTGACATAAAGACTGCTGTATATTATATATAGTAACTTTGTATTTCGAACTTTTTAGCATGAAATATGTAATAACGTAGAAGGAATTTTGCTTATTCTCTTTTTTTTTTTTTAAAAAAAAAAAAAGGCATGTTTTACTAAAATTAATTATATTTATAAAAAACATTAAAAAACTTTATTTTCATAATTATTTATATTTTTATTACTTTTTATTTCAATTCAAATTTTGATTGTATATTGTTGTTGTATATACCGTAGCTAAAGCTAAAAATAAATTTGCTAAAAATTTATTATTAATTTATTTTTTTTATTTACTATAAATTTTTTAATAGTCGATTTAAAACGTACAGTATTATTTTAAATAGGTAAATTATATACAGTATATATACAGTATATAGTAAAAATACAACTAGTTATACGAAACAAAAATAATTTTACACCTAAGGACTTGGCTTATAACTTAAAAACTTATTAATTAATTTTGGCTTTATTTATTTATCTAAATCTATGTCCTTTGTAATCATGTTAAATTATATACTTGTATAATTAAAAAGTTATTTATTTTTATTTTTAGAATTTTGAAAAATTTGGTAAATGTTTGTGTTTTTTTAAAAAATATTTTAATATCTATTGATTCAAATTTAATAAACTTTTAATATGTTATAGTAGAAAATATTTTTTATATAATATAAAAATTTGAAACAGTTTTGATAAAAAAATTAACAAAAATAAAAATTTTAAGTTTTAAACTTTTTTATTTTTTTTTTAAACCTATTGATTCAAATTAGATAAAAATTTTTTTATTTAATAAAGATAAAATTTTTTTATAAAATAAAAAAAATTTTATTAAAATTTAATTACTAGTTATTTTTATTTTTTTATTTTTTTTAGCAATTCTGTTTTTATTATACAAGAAATATAAAAGTTTTTAGCTACTGCCTCTAATCCTTTCTTTTCTTCAATAAAAGCTTCCCTGGTTGCTCTGAGGTGTCTAGATATGATCTGCCACAGCAACTCTTTTTCTCACTTTTGGCTTTTAACTTGCTAAAAGATTTCCTATTAGATTCTTGGATGATAGCTACTAGCCTTGTCAAAATTGTAATTATATTTTAGATTTTAGTGATCTATAAAAGCCTGACTGCTATTTCATTTTTTATTTTTTTTCACATCTTTTTGTCTGCTCTATTCAGAGTATTTCTTTTTCTCTTCTCTCTTTGACTTTTTTTTTCTTTTTTGTTTTCTTATATATAGGTTCTCTTCTTTTAAATCATTTTTTCTTTTTTTTGTTTGTAATATCTCTACTCTGCTTTTATTTGTTTATAGCTTCATATCTTAGTTACTAAATCACCTTTTAGAACAGCTTTCATAATTTACGATTGTATCTTTTATATAGTTTACTTTGTTCTCTGTTTTTACTTTTAAGACATCTCTAATACAATTAACTTTATTCTTGTATCTTTTTTTTGTGAGTCTTCAATTATTTTTTTTTTTGCGATACTATATAAGCTACTTTTATTCTTTTTACTTTTTTTTTACTTTTTTTTTTTTTTTAACTTTTTCAAAAGCTTCATTTTCTATCCTTTTCTATAAGATTTTATATATTTTGCATATAGCCAAATGCATTATATCTTCTTTTTCTCTAAAGTATACAATGCAAATATCTAATAAGTAGAGGCCTGGATTTTTTTTATATAGAATGTTTAAAGTTGGAAGTAGCTCATTTAAACACTTCATGTTAAAAACCCAACTTTGATTTTTTTTAAACTTCAGTATTTATATCCTATCATCTTTTGCTAAATTTTTTATCTTTCTTCAATTTATCTGCTTTTTATCTATATTATTACTAGTTAAACTATCAATAATTTTACTATTTACTCATCTTATACTATAAGAGAGCTTTCAGAAATTATATAATATTTTGTTATTAATAAATTTCAAAATTTCATTTTCACTCACCCACACCTGATACTTTATTAGCCAATCAAATTGCATAAAAATTTTAAATAATATTAATTAATAAAAATTTTTTTATTAGACTAATTTTGATGATTTAATTACCAAAATGATCATCTTAAAAAAAAGATTCCAACAAGCACAAAATAATTAAAATCTACTTACAAAATTACAAGATAGATAATTTTTTGTATTATTTAAATATATATAAAATAATACAAAATATTGTCTATTTTGTAATCCTGTTATTGAATTTTAATAATTTTGAGCTTGTTGAAATCTTTTCTTTGAGAGGTTTATTTTGGTAGTTAAATCATCTAAATTGACCCAGTAGATTAAAAGTTTTTTTTTTTTTTTTAGCTCTTTGATAGTCTTGCCAAAGCTCAAATACAATATTTTATTTAAACAAATTTGAACAAAATGAATAATGGCAGTATGGAAAATTGCAGGCCCAACATCACTCGGCTATATCTAGTATGCCCAAGAGTGACTTGTTATACCAATTTACATGTAAGTTAGAAGACCTTGTTAGCCTGCCAAGAGCTTATCTCTTCATTTTTACTTTTTTCATCAAAAGCAAAAGAAAATAATATTTCATATTCTCAATACTAGAATGTATATCAAAAAGAAAAGAAGTTTATATACAAAAAAGAAGCAAAACAAGAAAGAGAAAATAATAAGGAATAAAAATGGGAAAACGAAATATAAAAAAGAAAAAAACAAAGAAATAAGCCCAAACAAGCTAAACAAGAAAAAGCTATTTCTTATGAAAAATAGCAGCTACCTCTATCAAGAAATAGCAAAAAAACCAAATACAAAAAAAAAAAGAAAAAAAGAAAGTGCACTATTATAACCTGTGCCAGGCAAGTATAAAAATTATATAACAAATATAACATTTGTATATCGCTTCGCCTTAACGTTATTGTTCTTTTCTGACTATATGACCGACTCCAGAATATTTGGTTCTGACCTAATTCATATCTCGAGCCAAGTACTGCTACTATCCGTAAACCTGTATTTCAAGCCACCTGCTATCGCCATTAAAACTTGGGATCTGTTCAAATTAGTAACACTGTATCTATCGAACATGTGGTTATAATCTATTTGGCTATTTAGATTTGAAATATAAATACTATTGATTTTTTGAAGAGGGTAAACCAAAATTTCACTTTTTAGAAAAAAATTTTTAGAAAACCAAAGAAAAGCAGAAATGAGAGGAGAAAGTTGCAAGTACTTTCAAAATTTTTTAAATAAGTATGTTGAAAGAGCAGAACTTCTTGTTGTTTCCCCTGTGTTTTTTATTGAAGTAACAGGCTAACAACTTCATTGATGGAGTTGGGCTTCCCTACTCATACTCCACCAAGATTTTTTATACAAGGCCACTGCCTGCTAGTTATCTTGTATAATAATGCTCCTGGTTTGCATGCCAAATATTCTTTTAAAGAAGTCCCTTAAATAAGCAGTTAACCTCTAGACAAACTACTGTATAGGCCATGACTCTTCAACAAGTAGTTCTGGTTTTTCTTTAGTGGAAAATTTTGGTTCAGGTAATCATTAACAAAACTTATTCAAGTTTAAATATTTTATTATTATATAATTTTATAATTTTGGCCAGAATTATAATCTGATATTAGTGTTCTCCAAACCTGAACCAAGACCTAAAACTGAACTAGAACTGAACTAACAGATCGAATTAAATTTATAGTTTTCTAGAACTAGCTATTTCAGGTTTTGAAATAGACCCAAACCGTTAATACCTAATCCAACCCAATAGGTAATATAGTTGTATAATATTTTCTAATTAGCAATAGTAAAATGATAATCTTAATATAAAAGGTTTTTTTTTTCTATCATTATTTTTATATTAGAATTTCATAATAACACTAAGATTGCACTTTTGAAGAGCAAAAAGCACCAAGGCTTTTTGCTTTGCAAAAATAGTATCATGATATAATAGGTTGCATACCTTGTGCCAGAGTACTATATGCAGAGTAAAATACAATATATATAACAATAAGCAATAACAATTTGCATAATCTAAAAGTTTAAGATAAAGTTTGTTATAATTATGTAATCATGCATAAATATAAAGTTTGTCATAGTTATGTAATCATGCATAATAAATAAATAAATGAGGTTCGATTTGACAAATCAAACCTACTTCTAATTTTTCTTGTAAGAACCTGTGCCAAAGTAATAGTAATATGTGTTTTGTTAGAAAAAAGAGAAGCCAAGTATAAAAGAAACAAAGTTTTTAGTAAAGTGATTGTAACAAACAAGTATAAAATTTAGCTCTTACAATAATTAGCCTGGAATATTTTGCAAAAAAACTAGAAACATTTTTTTTTTAAAAAAAAAAAAATTTAATTGTATTAACTTAAGGCGGCTGTCTAAATAAAATTACTGTCTTTTATTTTGAGAAAAGAAAATACAATAATATCAAGTCCATCTGCATTATCTTATGATGAAATACAAAAATCAATAAAAATATTGTCTAGTGACAAAGCTCAAGAGTCAATATATGAGTTGCTTTATAATGAAGCTCAAGAATCGAGAAATACAACTTACTTGGATAAATTTAAAAATAATAAATCAATATTTATAAAAGCTAGTGGTAGTAATAAGTCTTCTAAATATACAAGGTAGTAAATTAATTATATCAAAAAAATTAGCTATAAGATTATATTATATACTAACTTACAGTATTATTTACAGGTTGTTT